GTGTGTGTGTGTGTGTGTGTGTGTGTGTGTGTGTGTGTGTGTAACTGCTTGTGTGCTCGCATGTACAATGTGTTTTTGTTTGGGTTTTTTTTTATAAAGAATATTTTCTCTTTTTGAGAGTATCAGCAATAACTGTAATGAATTCCAGAAGGCTTTCCATCTCTCTATTCTGTCACTCTTAACCTCCCATTTCACAGCAGGGCTGGTCGCCTGAAGTCACTGCCATATGGTCAAACTGAAGGAGTTTTGGGATAAACTTAACTGCATATATAGGGCTTCTCATTATCATCACCACTAGCAGCTATAGTGTGTGTATCTATACAATAGAAACGTACTGTCAAGTTATCTTATGTGCCTTTTGAATTAATAATTGTATAAACAAAATCTAGCTCTAAAATCCAACTTTTTAGGGTGCAGAGACTGATTGTGAACAGAGACTGAACAAAGAAGAGAGACTGCATTTGCTGAGGAGGGAGGACTCTTTACAGTGACTGATCGTAAAAGATACAGAAGTTTGTGTTTTTGCTATTACGTGTGAACTGCGTGGCTCTATGGCTGTGTTGGTTGGTCTGCTCCAACAATTTTGAGCGAAATAGCTAGACAAATTTTACATGGGTAGGCTTTTTTTCACAGCAGACATTTTAACTTGTCACTTGACTAAAAACATTAACAATAACTCAGTTTCACTAAGCCCATAGCAGTGTGACAGCAAGCCAGCATGCACAATACAAGGACCAGCCTATCTTATTATTTACACCTGTATTATTTCTGCTTTGATGTGTCAAAATGTCTGTGGTGAAAATTTACCAAATAATTACAGATATATACTGAACATAATACATGCTAACATGGAAAATGACAAATGCTAAAACATCAGCATATAAACATTTAATAGTTAACATGCATGTTAATATGCTGACTTTTACCATGTGAATTTCAGCTTTCACTATACGGATCCCAGTCTGACAGTATATTGCTGAGCCTGACAAGATGAACCTAATATCCCAAATTTGTCACTGTGCAGACAAGTTAAATCACTTTTATATATTGAATACAGCCTAAAATGATAAAAGGCTTTATAATCTGTACAACATCAAACAGACTCTATCCACAAATCTTTGATTTTTAATAGTGTAAACTGGGCTTTTCTTTGGCACCATGGCTCAGACCAAACATTATTTTGTCTCACTAGTGGTAAAGATCTAAGAATAGCAAACCTGTCTCTCCATTTTTAAAAGATGTTAGTTTTTCCGGCTGTAGACATTTGGTCTTGTAAGATTCAGCTTTACTTGTTACACTATAACTTTAGATCACTTTAGATGTAAATAAAATATAAACATTAAGATAAGAATAATATTAAGTGCTTGTAGGTGTTTTTGCATAAAGGAAGTACTAAGGATAAAAGTACTAATTACAGTTCGACAGCTGAACGTGTTGAAAATATACCAGTTAAATATGCATTGTATTCTTAGACAGACTTGCAGGTTGGGGTGGCTGTGCAGGCGACATGTGCATCCCCAGCTTTTCAGATTGTCACAAGCACAGATGGAAAAACAAATGAACAGAAATGTGTCCTCGAGTGTAAATATGCATTGTAAGCTGTTCACATTATCAGATTTGCAGATGGAGGTAACATATGCACAGAAATATATGCTATCACCATGTAAATTTACAGATGGAATTAATAACACAGCATTATTGCACCATGAGATGAGTATCAGGGTGTTACATGAGCTTGTGATGTGGTTACTGTATGTAGTGTGGCTGCAATGCTCTGGTCAGTATCTGGGCAACTGGCAGCCTTCAGCTCTTATGCTTATGGGGGAGGCAGATGCGGCATCACCTCGCTTAGCTCTTGTTTATACAGAGGGAGTTGAATCTATCTGTCTGTTGGTTTGTCAGACTCTCCTCCCTGGCGTGTTGAGGTGTGTGACAGAGAGATGGAGAGAGATGGAGGCTGGACTGGCAGAGTGAGAGCAGACTGTCTCTCCGTAATGAATATAAATGGGCTCCAGGTCTCATCATCTGGCTCCCCTCTCTGAAAACAGGCATGGTACGGGGATGTGGGATGGAGGTGGCCCATCCTCCTCTCCTCCCCCGCTACTTACTCACACACTTGCTGCAGTGCACATACAGACATGCAAACACATTTTGATTTTGTTGTGTTCAGCCAAAACAGCTGTTAATAAGACTCCCGGCACTAGGAAACGTCATCATAGTGTTGTCAAACTAACTGTGCTTAAATCAAGCATTTGTATTTTTTATGTAAAATAATTTGTGTTACCATAAAATGTAACTCAAACTGTAATCTTTGTTACTCACAGTTTTACTTTATTTGGTTTCTGCAACTCATGTTTGAAGATGTCACATGACAGGAGATTGGTTGTTGTGACAAAATCTTTTGATAATTTAAGATACACATATATCATATTAGTGCTGAAAGGATTATGTCATTAGGAAAGGTCACCAGAAAACTAATCGGCAACTCTTGTGATGATCGGATCGATGAATGTATCAGTGTCATTTATCAAGCAAAACTGCAAAACAATTATCTTGTTCCGTCTTCTCAAGTGTGAAGATTTGCTACTTTTTTCTTTTTCACATCATTGGAAAATTTGTATTTGGTAGTTTAGACTGTTTTTTAGAATATTATGCATGTAAACAATTAATCGAAAAAAGAAAATCATCAGTTGCAGCCCGACGTCATATAGTAATCACAATGTTCCATACTGGAAGTTATTCTTCTTTGTACAAAGCTAAACACTGTCATGAACACCTATCTAATCTAATTTTAGAAGTTGTTTAGTTGTTATTTAGAAATACATCCTCCACTTGCAGTGCATTTTAATTCAGCATCAGCCCTCATAAATTGTAGTGTTGAATCTCAAGATCTGAACATTAAAGGCTTCACAGCATTGCATTTACTACAGGGCCTTTCCCTACATGTATGCAACATGTTAAGCTATTGTCTGGTTCTTTAGTGTGTTGTATTCTCCAGAGAAGAGATAAAGATGTGTACTGTGCAGAATCTGAAACAGTTTGCTCTTTTTCTGTATCGGTCTCTCTAAACACCCTTACCGTCATCCTCATTTTCCCTTCTTTTTATCCAACCTACGAGGTGCTGATGGAGCCCAAGTAACAGTAACAAACACTCCCATATCTGAAGCACAGCACCTCCATTACCTCCTTGCTTTGTCTTTTAATTGCCTTTGGGCGAACACAGTCTTTGTAAATCTCTGCCTGGCATACACTGTAATGTGACATTATTTATTTTTTCTATGCCATGTGCATTATCACCTATTAGTCATTCTTCCCATTCACGGCATCATCATCTGATTCCCATGACAAATGAGCTGTCTGCTGACATTTCTTCTGAGGGAGTCCTATGATTAGCACACATCTCCTGCATCTCTCTGAGTTGTTATTGCTGCTTTCCTCTTGCCGCTCTGCTCTTGATGTTCGTCATGAAAAGGATGAAAAAAACCCTCCTTTGCTTTACTCTGGTTAAGTGTCATCTGGGTCTATTTAGAAAGCGGTGAGGCTGTTAGCAGTGTTGCCAGTGTTGTCATGTTTTCTTAAATTGATTCCCTGTGATTACTTGGCATTCATGGTGCTCTTTAAGGGACAGGACAAAAAAAAGCACTTGGTAAATTGTGGTTTAGATATGCTGTGGAACAAAGCCCAAATGATGACACGCACACCCAGAAACGCGTGTGCAAAAATCTTCATATACGCTCTCACTCACCCATATAGACTATAATTAATTGCCAGGAAGTCTCAGGTAATTTAAATTGCAAATCAGTGCAGCCTTGTTCTCACAACTTTTGTGATTAATATTTTATTGTTATACTGAGTGAAAATGCCATCAGTGTTTTTCATCAGAAACAAATAGCACTAAAGAAGAAAAACGGGGAACTGGATTGAGGAAGATCAGATGCAGGCGTTATCTCTAAACATTAATTAAGTCGTGTCTGGGTCTGGAGCTGTCGAGGTCCCCTCTCCTGTCGCCAATCCACTCGCGGAGAGAGAGAGAGAGAGAGAGAGAGGTCTCGCTCACTATTCCCCCATTCTCTCATTTCTCTCTGCGCTCTCACCCTGATACTGCCAAGTTTTCTCAGGTCCTGAACTTCTCTTTCAATCAGCCACTAATTAAGCAGCAGAGTGGAAGGGTTTCTTTGGCAGGAGATCGAGGGGACGTGCAGGTTGAGTGAGAAAAGCCTGATCCTGAGACCTTGTGATGACTTAGGTATGACACGTGGTGGGGAACTTGAGAGGAGCAGAGTATCAAACCAGCGGAAATAAGAGATTTAGGCAGCGGAGAACTGAAGCTTTGAAACCAATCTCTTATGCGTTTCTTTCAATCCCATGAGACTGCCATTGCAGCAAAGGACCAAAAATTAGACAAAAATAATGAGGAACTTTCCCCTTTGAGAGGTGATGTGGCCTTGCAGTGCAAATCTCAATCGCAGCATTTCAGAATCGAAAAGAAAATCCTGGATGTGAGTTCTTATTAAAAAAACAACTTTGACCTTTCTTATCCAGCACTGGCTTTTGAAAGTACTGCGTGACCTTGTGTTTGTGAGTACAGACTGGCAGCATGAGATGAAAGTCTTAAGTCTTGCACTTCACTTAGAGCCACGGTGGACGCCTGCATCTGGCTGGAATCAGATGGTTGGCACAGCGCTCTGCACCTCTCAAAACAAAACAAAGACGAAACCACGCGCAGACAAAGGAAGGCTTCCCCCAGTGAGGCAGAGCGCACACCGCTGCTGTGCTTTGAATGCTGAAGCCTCCTCTAAAACAAATGAATTCAGAGCCCTTACGTCCTACTTACTAGGAAATACCGCTCAATTAGACTAACCATTCATTAAGGAATTGCAGTGACACCCACAAACACAGACACATACACACCAGCACTCGCACAAGGTCACAGCTTTTTATAGTAATGTGCTTCAGTAGTTTAAAGTTTTTATAATGACTGTGTTTCTGTGTCCCTACAGGGTGCCCACAGCTATTTTGGAGTCTGGATATCCTGCTACACTGGATTCATCTCTCTGCAGCTCTCTGTATGGCCGGTGCCGTTTAAAAGGCAGCCAGCTTGACTGATTATTGGCCCTTTCTTCCCCTACACGCCCCATACCTCCTCACCCCCACCTGGCTGGTGCATTGGCCTTATTCAGGTCATCTCTTCATCAAGGCTGGCAATGTCCAGAATCCCAAGCCCCCCTCCCCCAGAGGAAATGGCCAGCGGTCCTGTAGCTGAGAGCTGGTGTTACACTCAGGTGAGGAGTAGGGCTGAAACGATTCATCGACTTCATTTAATTCATATAACTATTTAGCACACTGTTGCATGAACATTTATAACTGTCGCACATCACGCATCCACTGTAAAACGAAACTTATATCGCCTCGGCAACAACACGACGGCATCTGATCAGAAAGCACCCGGTGTTCTGCCAGTGGACCACAGACAAGGTAACACTAACAGCAACTTTAGCATTTAACTGAAATCATGATTGATTGTTGAGTTGAAGGCTAGCCAAAGTAAGCAGCAGACCTCAGCAGAAAATGTCCACACGTGCGTTTGTTGTTCTCCTTTTTGGGCCATGGGTCATTCGTTAACTGGGTGTCCGGGAGCTGCACCTGTTAACTCACCACCAGCTCTCTCTGTAGCTCAGACAATCCATGCTGCCTGCGTGTGCTAATCCGTCCTTTCACCAGATTCTTCGTCTTTATAATTTTCATCTTTATAATAACAAACAGCTGAATTAAAGGGCAACTCCATCAACTTACAAACAAGTCGGTTTACAGGTTTTGCAGAGTGCAACTGCATATGTGAAATAAGCCCGTAGTGGCTCCAGAGCGAGCTGTGTGAAATCTGATAAATTGCCTCAAGCGATGTCACTTGAGTCCTCTTCTGTTGGGGATGAAGACTTTAAGTTTGAAAATGGAAGAAATGTGTGGAGATGTGGAGTCAGATTACTAGATCTCTGTAGGGCTCTCCTTGTCCCTGCTTGTAGAGGCTTGAAGCCTGGAAGACATGTTCAGATCCTTTACTTAAAGCTAGAGTAGGCAGCATTTTTTGTTGTATTTGTTGAAAATCTGTTTACATTATAACAGCAATCAATAAAACAAATGCCATGACACTGATGTTTTGCATAATGTTAAATGGAGGTAACTGTGAGAATAGAATTTGAGTTTCTTTGAGTAACAACAAAGCTTTATTTTGACCACTTTTCCACTGTGAATGTGGGTGTTGCATCTGAAAGTAAGCCTGTTTATTAAGACAGAAGAAGTTCACTTTAAATGAACTTCAATGATTGAACTTCATTGATGAAGTTCATTGATGAATGAAATGAACTTCATTGATTTAAATGAACGTCATAACATAGTCAATAATCAGTAAAGCTTCATATTTTATGTGACTGGTCATTGAGCACTTAAATGGAATGAATCCTGTCTAGATTGTTCTGGTAACTGTGTTTTCCTGATTGATTCAATATTACAAACCTAATTTATTTCCCACAGAAATTGATCATTTCAGGTGTTTTCTTTGTTTAAAGGTCATCCATACTCTGAAATTGTGTTTGTTTCAGTCATTGCAGTAGAGGGTTTGCTAGTTCAGACATCACTTTCCTGTTAAGAGCCTAGATAGATAAATCATGTCATTGATGATGTTTTTTCATCTCCTCTATGTCCTTGTAAAATTGTTTTGTTTTTTTCTTTTGCCACTTTTACAATATCCTTTCTTCTTTGCCTTCGTTTGTTGTCAGTGTTTATTGAGATGAAAGGCAGTTTTGATGTGCGGTTTTGAAGTCCAGGCTGACCAAACACCACTTACCCATATAGAATAGGTATATTTATTTATATATATAGATAGATACCTGGTTTTAGCCTTTCCTGTGTCTTTTCTGCGCAGATCAAAGTAGTGAAGTTCTCCTACATGTGGACCATCAACAACTTCAGCTTCTGCCGTGAGGAGATGGGAGAGGTCATCAAAAGCTCCACTTTCTCCTCAGGAGCCAACGACAAACTCAAATGGTTGGTAAAGGCTGGTCGCTATCAGATATTGAAAACACATCATTCTTGCTCTGAGAGAGTTGTTCGAGAATATTTTCTCCAACATCTAGTTGTTGCATTTTGCAATCCTTTAGCATCCAGTTGACTGCTTCAGTGGTATCTCGTGTGCCTTCATCTAGTCTACATTACTACTGATGTTTACTTACACGTGTATTCGGTAATAAAATAATTTTGTTGTACTTTGTCATGCTTGGATTTAGTCAAATCTGGCTCAGAGTGAAAGATAAAACCATGATCAATGCCAGGGTAAATATAAATGGGTTAGACATTCGTTTAAACATACTAACATTTAAAAATGTGTATGAAAAGCTCATGAATTGCTGCTCTATCTGAGGGTTAAAACAGAGATTTACTAGGAGCTGTAAGATTTCAGTTTGAAGTGGTTCACTCCGGAGGAGTTGGTGGACCCTGATTGAGATTTAGAACATGCTGGAGGGATTACATATCCCACCTGGTCTGGGAAAGCCCCAGCATCCCCTTGGAGGTGCTGGACAAAGAGGTTGGGGTGAAGAACATCTGGGCCACTATTTTTAGCCTGATTGCGACCTAGACTCCCATGGACTGATGGTTTGATGGCTGAATTGATGTGAACTTCTGAACTTTAAAGACAACAGATTAGATCCACATAAACAGCTGTCCTGTTTTTAGTATACAGTAGGCTAGACTCAAGATACACTTGCAAGACTTTGATATTCATGTTCACACAAGAGCTTCCAGAGAGCAGGGGAAAAGATTCTGTTTCTCACACAAAAACACGGCCAGGCATTTTATAGACATTTTAAAGGGGGCTGAAAGTAATGACTGTAGCCTTGGGTAAAATAAAACCGTGGATCTGGGATTGTTCGGTCACCTGTTTAAATTAGAAACACACTGAGATTTTGGGGGCTTTTCTTCAAATACTATAATCAAACTAAGTTGTTTTTGGAGTGTATATAATACAATTACTTCACTTCTTCCTTAAGTGCCTTACTAAGATTGTCAGCTATTGCATCTTATTTGAGTGAACAATTCTGACTCTTCTTTTCTAACACTCTTTATCACACCTCACTGTCAGTGTCTTTAATCCTTGTTTCTCCGATGCTCTCATAGATGCTTGTTAGAGAAATGAGATCACTGTCAGCCCCACAACATTAGGCATTACAGCAAGAGGGAAAAATTGTAACAATAACAATAATGCAAAGGCTTATACTGATGAAATAATTAGAACATGTCAAGAATGTAGGGTAGGTCAGCTAGATAATACAAAAACAACTATGAATTTCAGATGAGTTCTTTCTCAATTAAGTGACTGCTTCTTTCTTATACCTTCCAACAGGCTTTTAATAGGGTTCTTTTGATTAGACAAGTTTTAGTGTTATTGGGCAATTGCCTACCATATAAATTATACATTAGAGAATATATGTATAGATATATATTTTATCATCAGCGTTGAGTCTAGAGAAACATAAAGATTATTAATGTATTTTTTTAATAAAATGTATTTGTAGCTTCCAAATGCTTCACATAAGGAATAATCCAAATCCAAAAAGCAAATCTTTTGAATACCCTGTGTAAAATAAATTTGTTCATGTGCCTGATGTATTTCTGCTTTGAAAGAAAGTGGATACATGTTGGATCTGCAGTAGGTTTAGGGATATCTCCTTTCATTTTAAGTTCAGGAAGGTTAGCTAGAAAGCTGCATCCCTAGTCAGAAGTAGAGGTGGGCCAAATAATCAATGTTGTGTTCTGGTCTCGGCTATGATACCATATTGATACTTGTTAGTTGCATTGCTGAGGTAGAGCTGTTTCTTTCCTGTGCACGCTTGAACTGTGAAATGTTCTGCTTTTGGAAGTTTATTCTTTTGCCTGTTTGTTGCTGTTAGACATTGACATATTGGTGTATGTGTTTATATTTCTGTGTTTGTGTTAAAAAGGCTTAGGTTCTTTGGTCCATCGTGTTTCATCCCAGCTGTCTATTAAATTCAGTGGAACTAAAAACTTTTCATCATGTATTGAATAAATAGAGTAGGGTTTTGATGATAAATCTGATATGGTTTCAAATTAGAGATATTATTATTATCTTGGGCAAGATTCCATGATGTTATTATATCATGAATTACACAGAACCAGAAACCATCACTTTGGCATAAGCGAAGAGTAAGTCTGGCTCTTAGTGAGTGCAAATGTATTTCAGTTTATTGTCATTACTTATAAAATAAGGTTGTATTGAATAAAAAACATTAAGAAAAATCCATTTGCTTTATTTATCTGATCAGTCTGTATCTTTCTTTTCCTACCTCCAGGTGTTTGCGTGTGAACCCTAAAGGTCTGGATGAGGAGAGTAAAGACTATCTGTCACTTTACTTGCTCTTAGTCAGCTGCCCAAAAAGTGAGGTGCGCGCCAAGTTTAAGTTTTCTATCCTCAATTCCAAGGGAGAAGAGACCAAAGCCATGGGTAAGTCTGGCCTTAACCAAAAACAACTGATTCCGGCCTGCACTCTGAAACTTTCTTTAACAGAAGTCACCACTTCTGTAATTTTCTTAACTTGTCATTGGAAATAAGTTGGCATTAATAACTGAAAAGCCATTTAGGCCTAACCTGCATAGAAGTCTATGTTCAGCAGAAAATGGAGGATATCTCAAAGTTTGAGAGGTTCAAAATTAAAAACTCCTTTCACACCTGTGTCTTTGGGGCGCGGAAATTTGTAAATGTAGGAGTGTGTCTAATACTCGCAAGTGTGTCTAATAATGTAAGGTATCGATAACCATATGGGCTTGTGTAATCACTGCCGGGTGGATTCATTTCTAGTAAATATATAATTCAAAGTAGCGTGGGGCAATTTTGATTTTAATTAAAAAAGACCCAACCTTTTTAGAAGTCTTCGTCTGCCTCTCTCCCCGTTGATGAATTGGAAATGAATGTGCCTCCAATTCCTGCTTTATTTTAATTAGGTTATGTTATGGGGAGGAAAAGCAAACTTGTGTGGAATTGAATTAGTGAGGGCCAGATGTGACCGTTTCCTGGCTATCAGGCTTTCTGGCTGCCTCAGTCTCTCCCAGTACCCTGCAGCACACTGTACAGGAAGCATGGAGTAAGGGAAGACGGGTGTGTGGGAGTTAGGGAGAAGAGGTGGGAGGCGGACGTGTGTTTGAATCAGAGGTGTATGCAGTGAAACTGTGTACAACGCCCTGCGGTGCAGGTTGTGTAGAAAGGGAAATAATTTTTCCTACCGAGAAACATTTCCCCATGTGAACTTGACACCCCCACACCCTTGTGTGTACTTTCAGTCCCTCATTTGCTCACTTAGACCTCTCTCTCCTCTCTTTCATGTTCACGGTGTTACTTTCTTTTTCTTTTATCCTTTTTTTTTTTTCCACTTCTGCCCTGTAATGTTGGAATACCACCTCTTAACTCTCAGCGACAGGCTCACGAAAACGATTATTGTCCTTAAAGCTTTCTCTCCTGGCTATAATACTGTATGCTGGTGACTATGTGGTTTTGTGGAGAGGATTTGCCAGCACTATGAGTAATAAACAGACCTTTGAGGTGTTTGACTTCACTGCTTGTCCATTTTGTGAGCGCTACTCCCCTAAATGACCCCAGAAAACCCTGAATGTGGGGAATACCGAGTGAAGTGAAGAGGATCTCATTTTCTTCTCCTCGTCTCTTTTTGTGTCTCAAGGGTCTTTCGACTATAAATGGTGTGCTCTATGGTGCACACCCCATCCCATTCTTGCCATATGCCCTCCTCCAATCTTCCCACAATCCCCCTAGGGAGACCTGGGCCTTCCACTTCGCTCGCCCTGTCAAAGGAGAAAATTACCTAACTGCCAGCATATTTGTGACAGTTTAGTGAGCACTCTGTCTAAGAATATGGCAGTAAAGATTGCTCTATCGGTTCTGGATCATTTAGAATCCAATTTAATCCAGGCCTCTAGTAAAAAAAGACCAAATAAAAACAAAGTGCCTTAATTAAAAAAGCTGGGTGGCTGTAGACTGTTTATGTGGCAGGTCACTGCTCGGCCTGCTTAATTGACAATTTTGAATACAATGCATATTAGGCCTGAGTCCTTTAAACAGAAATAGATAGAAGAAAGAGTGGATAATTAATAAAGAAATAAAAGTTTCAGAACTGTAGTGAGTGCACTGTATTGAAACACAGCAGAGTAACATTACTATTGAAGGCACGTCAAAATCCTACTGATGGAAAGTGCTGAGCTGAACAGCTGATAAACTGAAGTTTCTGTTTGAGGTGTCAGTTTGAATTTCTGACTTTTGTAGCGTTTGGAGGAGACAAACTCTCACTGGCAAGCCATTCCCTGTCACTCATACAAAAGCATTGGCCTTACGCTTATTATTGAATTTTACCCAGACAGCAGGTATACATTTTGATTTGTGTTGATGTGCTGACTGGCGTGTGCATATTGACAATTAAAGTATCCCTGCAGTAATTAAAGGAGGGGGGTATAAATATAGTCCAAGATTTGAAGGCTACACAGGGTTGGCAGATTTTGACTAGAAAGCTTGACATTATCAGATGAAACACCACATCTGCATCAGCCCCTGGGCCCCCCACCAGAGAGTGTGTCTGTATTTGGATCCTCTGATGGTCTGTATTTGCTAATGGAGATAGATTCAGGCAGCAGTGGCAGCCCAACACCCCCCTTCCCACTCCGTACTCCCGTACTCTCAGCTTGGCCACATCATTTCTCTCCCTGGCTTAATGTGCTGGTTCTCTCCTCTGAGGCTGTTGGATGGGTTGTAACTTGTCTCTTGACACCCCCCTTCTCCTCACTCCTCCTCTTTTTGCCAGAGAAAACATCTGCCCCCCTGCAGACTCCAGTTCTGACAGCTCGGAGAGGAGAGATGGAAAGTTCTCATCCTCCGCCGCAAGCTGTTCTGTATTCAAATAGTCTTCTTGTTAAGTCTCCCCTACAGACAGTGGTTTTGTTGTGCTGTAGCCAAAGGCTAACCTAGCTTCTGTGTGTATGAGTTGGCCGGAGAGTCTAGTTACAGCAGGTTTTTGGTGTGGGTTGCTTCTATATTTTGTAGCTGGAGATTCAGAGTGTTTTTTTTGTTGTTTCAGTTAATTGAAGCTCTGAATTTGAGCTTGTCAGAGTCTGCTGCCCTCGGTAACTGATGGAAGTGATCAGGCATTCTGCGTGGGTGAGTGGAGCACGGCTAATAGAGTAGAAGCTATTGGTCAGTCCTTACATAATCAGATGGTATTGACATCGGTAGAAAGAATGTCAATAGGCATGTTTGTGCTGACACTAGCTTATAGAGCTCAATCTTCAATAGAGATTAGATTTTCATCTCTGAAAGACTATATGTCATGTTTATATGTGTATATGTCTGCTTTATGCCAGCCAATGTGAATCAGTGTGTAGGAATGAAGGAATAAAGTTTTAAATTAGATTTTAGTGAGATAAACATACACTTGTATAGACTGTGGTTTGGTGAGTAAGTGGCTATGCTAATTGTCCTTTCACAGCAATTCTTTTTGAGAGTTTGGGAAATGGGTGTGAGTATGGTCTGTTGGTGGTTGTGAGTAGTGGTTAGGGTAGGGATTTTGGTAAAATTGAATGTGTGAAAGAGAAGGCCAAAAGAGTGACAGACAGGAAGAGAGATGTTGACTCTGGCTGCTGTGTCGGCTGTTATTTTTCTACATGCCAGCTCGTCTTCTGGCGACCTTCTCGTTCTGTGTGCCAACTGTGCCCCAGAGCCCACTGCCTGAATATGGATGCCTTGCTCACTTAAACACCGTGGCATTGCTCCTGCTTTCCTCCTCTTCTGACTGTCTCCGGCTCAGACCTCATTTTTCTCACCTTCCTCATCACCTTCAGTCTTTTTTTTTTTTGGGTGAGAAACTTCACTCTGCAATGCCGGGAACTATCAAAGTACATCGCAGCATGGTAAACTTATACGTCTACATTGCAACTGTGACTTTTCACACAAACTCCATTATCATTTCCCCATTCGTTATTGAGATCTATATGTCCTCATCACAAGTGTGCTCTGACACTTAACACGATCTCCTGTCTACACTTGTCAATCTCTCTTTCCATTCCAGTCTTTTTCATCTCTCACATTTTTCCCTTTGGATATCTCAGTTGCACCGACCCCCCTCCACCAATGTTGAGCTCTTTTTGCTATTCTGGCAGAGTGGTTGCACTCCCGCCACCTTGGCCAGCTCACTGAAAGAGTGAACTCCAGCGATCTGACCTGTAGTTGATTCTTTGCCATTGCAGGTTTCTGATGCCCCACTAGAGATGGCAGCATGGCATTAGCTGAGCTCAGCACACACACACACACACAAACACACACACACACACACACCCTTATCATCACTGCATGCATGTGCACATTCTCACACACACACACACACACACACACACACACACACACACACACACACAAGGCACCTCACTGTCATGTGTAAGCACTGAAGAAGTCGCACCTCTCTCTCCCATTCCCCTCTGCTGGAGCTTCTTTCAGCATTCCCTCTCACCTCTTCCTCTTGGCTTACTTCCCTCCATCTCACTCTCTTGCCAACCTCTCTCCTCACACCCGAGTTTAGCTTTAGATACCACTGCCACTGGGGAAGTCCTCACTCATCACTGCTAGTTTTGTTTCATACCCAAATAACACAACTTCACAAGGAGATTATGTGCCTCGGGACTTCAGCTGTGGCTCTCATGCTAGGTCTTATCAAACATGTTTAAAGGGCATGAAAGAGTGGGTGAAAGTCAGTAGTGAAAGACTTTATTCAAACCCTTGAGAGAGATCCAGGTACTAAGCCTATTGCCGGCCACAAAAGTTTGACTCTCTTTTCAAACCTCGGCTTTGGTTGAGAAATCTTTGGTATGAAAAACTCTGTCTTTTTTGAAAACACTGACACTCCCCCTATATTACACAGTGGCAGAACAATGAATAAAGCAGAGTGCTGTGAAAAAGCAGAATGCATAGATTTGTAATTTTTGTGCTTTGGCTTCCATGCATGCTTATGCTTGTGTGTGTGTGTATTTGCATAGTGATTTCTGTCAGCTTCTTTGCGTACACAGTCTCTAGAGGCAGGGGATTACAGTGAAGGACCCCCTGCATGAGCAGTGGTGGGAATAACTGCATATGCACTGCACTCCTCTACCAAACCCCTCTTTGGCTGCCTGCTCCCTCGGATCCAAACAGGGGATTTGATAGAGGATCTTACAGCAGCATTGACACTTCATCTTAGTGCTTCCCACTGTGATCTGTCAGCAGATTTCCTGTTGGGATCTCTACGCAACAGTAGACTGAAGAGAAATCTGTTTGAACTGCTGGGGCTAAACACATGTAGTGTGCACACACGGCAGATATATGAACGTGAGGTGATGGCCTCTTGGGATGTGGTAACTAGCTCATAGCCTGTTTCAGTCACCTTTTAATAGGAGTCTTTTACTACTTTATGCCCTTTAACTGGGTCTAAAGAAGAGTCAGATTTTTGATAATCTGGCTTTACCACATGAATTGAATATAGATTGTGGATGGATATAGGTTGTCCTGTCTTAATGTAATGTTATATATATATATATATATATATATATGAAATGCTTTCATGCCAAATGTTCATTTACATATATGTAGTTGATGTACTGTATGTAGACTGCGCATTGCTTTTACACTTATTACACAGTATGGCCAAATGAGCATTGGACAACCTCTTCTGGTGATTTTTTGTGATTGGATTGGTGTGTTTTGGGGAATTGCTCCTGGATTGTGTTTCTTCTCTTTCACAATCCAATCCAATCATCCAAATGCAGGTTAACATCATGTGTATAGGGCTTGATGACATCTGCCAAAGAAATGAAAAGACTTGAATAATGAAGTGGTTTCTAGTGGTTCTTTTGTAGCTTGTGGTACATTTTCCTGCATTATTTGATGCCTTACAGGACAGAATACATAATAACAGAGATAGCCAGCCTTAAGGTATTACCTTCATCAGGTACTGAGGCATGTCTACCGTGATAGGAATAGAAAAATATGTCTCCATACATTTAGAAATCCCAGAGCAGTGCCTGAGGAAGCGTTTTCTTCTCATTAACAAAATGGCGAATGATGTAATTCCTCCAAAGAATGGTGTTACATCCCTCCAACGGAGCTCCAGTTACTTGAAGAATTTACGTGTTAGTGATTTGCTTCCTTTCTATCTGCAATTTGCTTTAATTTGCTGTGATCTCTGTGGTAGTCATAGTTCATTGTTATTATCTTTTGACCTTGTATGTGAGCATTTGTGACTGTTAAGTGACTGTAGATAGCTGTGACCACCCCCACAGTGTGACTATTGTACACACAAGAACTCCAGCACCTTTCCTGTGTCTTTGTAGTGCAACTGAGTGTTACAGAATCCTTCCTGCCACTGTCAGAGATAATTGGCACTCCATAAACGCATGATAATTGGACTGCTTTGATCCCTGCAATTTCTCACTTCTTGGCCAAAGAGGCACAGCAGTTCTGTCTCATGTTTACCACTAGTCTTTATGTGGCAGCGAGAAGATACAGAGAGTGAAAGAGGGAGAGAGAGAGATTCTGTTTTCTTCCGAAGTGTTAAAAGCTCCCTGCAGGCAATACTTCCTGCACCCAGCCTCTTTCGCCATTGTTCCTCCGCTGCTTATGGCCATGACTCATAACAAACTTTCTGTTTCGCACACACATTCACACACGCAGAGCCTAATCATGTTGTGAAAGTCTCCAAATAATCTTGTTTCTCCTTGTTTGTCCTTGTGTTTTCTTTTCCAGAGAGCCAGAGAGCGTACCGTTTTGTCCAGGGGAAGGACTGGGGTTTCAAAAAGTTCATAAGGAGGGACTTCCTGCTGGATGAGGCCAACGGTCTGCTGCCCGATGACAAATTAACACTTTTCTGTGAGGTAAAGGCTGAGACAGTTTATCTGAACTCAGGTTATTTGTTAAACAGAATTCACACTTTGTTTATCTTTTAGCTCAAAAAAGTATAGTACAGGCACATTCAAAATGAATAACCCTGATTATATTGCAAGATCAAAATTATTATTCATCAAATGAGATATTTAAACATTGCAGACAAATAACGACTTCTATGATTAATCTTTAAAATTCTAAATTGTGAAGTTTGAGGATACTGAGTTGTGTGTACATTAGTAAAACCACTTGGATTACCCCAAAATGTATAATCTTAATAGAATGTAAAAATAATGAATACTGTTGAAATATCTAAATTTATTGTTTGTTTTTGTGGTTTTGCCTTGGAGTGATCACAACTGTAATTCCTGTCTCACTCATCTTTTTATTCAACACTGCCGCTCATTGTATGTCCCTGTTAGTGAATAATGTATGTTTTTATTGGTACTACATAGCCTCTGGGTTTAGATCTCTCTCCCATCACTAACATACAAGCTGATTGTCATTCAGCCCGCATGGTGGCTTGGCTCCCGATTCCTCTGATCCAAAGCTGGCTGCTGCTCCTCATTGAAAATTCCCTTGTTGTTTTTCAGCTGTAACACAGGGGGCAGCAGAGGTCAACTGTCCTCTGCCTCGTTCCCCTCTGCTCCTCATAATGGAGCCAGGGAGCAGAGAAGAGGTTAAACTTTCTGGATATGTTAATGCCTTAGCTGTAATGCATGCACCCATAAATGTTTAAAAAGCATGGCAGTGGCTGTTTAAAACAATTCTAATTAACCCTGCGGGTATGGAGGAGAGCATGTCTTGAAGTTTTCCCTTTTTGTAGAGGAGCTATGTGCAAGTCTGTTTAAAGTGTTTCCAAACTGGGCTTATTGACAGAGGGGTAGGAGGGGCAGTGCTGCTTCTCCAGAGCCATGTGGGATGGGGGGTAGAGTCGTGTGTGCGTGTGTATGTAGGAGTATCTTATGCATATATTGTGTGTGTTTGTGCAGGAGTGTCTCCTCGGGACGTAATTTGAGGATGGGACTGTTTGCTGGAGAGAATGAGCTGGAAGAGAGAGGCATTAGTTACCTTGAAGAGTGAATTCATCTAACACTCCTGAAGGGGAGGAGGTGGGGTTGCTGGTTTAAGTCCTCGGTGGCCACTTCCTCCCACGAAATATCTGTTGTACTGTGGTAATTAGCCAGCTCTGCTGATGAACAAGCAAGGCAAACCTGATCTATATAGCACATTTTATTCAAAAGTTAAAATCAATATGTTTGCTATAAAAACTGTGTACAACAGAAAAAGATTAAATGAGAGTAGAAAGTAGATAAATATTACAGGCAGGGAACATTGTCTGTATTTTTAAAAATGTTTTAAAAGTACTCTCAGGTACTGGTTTCTCCACCTGCGTGTAGCATAATAACGTAAGTTTTGCCATTTTTTAACCTCTGTAAAAATTTAGCAGAACACCTCCAGATGACCTGAGAGGTCTACAGAGTTCATACTTTTCCTTACTTGATGTATAGACAGGCAGCGGTATTTGAAAATCAATTATAAAACATTTGGGTGTGTTATAGAAAAAAAGACAGTCTGGAAGTGGGATGATGTGTGCAGTAAATGATGAGATTGCCAATAGTGAGGTCTGGTAGCGTTTACCACCGACACGTGGGCTGGACGGTTGGCAGAGCTAGGTTTTGGGCGGATGGTGGTAAGACACTGCGGAACGGGTGTTTGAATCTATTTTCCTGGTCTTTTTCCATGTGAAAGTGAAGCCCAGTGTTTACCGTCAGAGACCTGGCTCTGCTTTCGTCCAGATGGTCTCGTCCTGCATCTGAGAGAGCCCCATCGCCCCAGAGCCCAGTTCTCTCCCTCCTCTCTCTTCTCTCTTCTCCCATCCCCTCCACTTCCTTTTTTCCCCTCCATCTTATCTCTCATTCAAACCCAATCTCCTCCGCCTCTTTTCCCTTTTCCTTTCATCTCTTGCTGCCTCCAACTTTGAGCATCACAGTTTCTTACTTTTTTCCCCTAACTCACCTCTCCCCCTTGTCCCTTGTCTCCCCCCTCTGCTCAGCCTGCCTACTTTTCCTTCCTCCCTCTTTGCATGCCTTCGGCTCCCGTCTTTCTTCCTCTCTTATTCTGTGTAGTAGAGTGTCAAAGAAAAGGCTATGAGGAGAAGCCAGATCACTGTGGGAGGGGGATGCTGGCTCACCCTCTCCTCCTGACCCTTGGTCCCTGTGCTCGGTTCACTTGCCTCTGGAGACATAAGTTATTCAAGTTTAGCATGGGGAATCAGGCTATATGTCATGTTGGAAAGGGCCTGGACAACACTAGTCACTGCTCTCTCTGTTTTCGTCTCTTTCTTTGTCTCCATCTATCTTTCTCTCTCTATCCCTGCCAAAGCGCTGCAGACACCTGCAGATATTTAATGAGGAGATAGCTCCCATTAAAGGTGCTGCGTTAGCTGTCAAAAGAGAGCATGAGGGACAGAGAGAGAGAAAAAAGGAGTGGAAAGAGGCACAGCAAGACGAGACTGAAGAAAGGCCTTCTCAAGAAAAGTGGGCACACTTGGTGGCAACGAGCCACGGGGGTGAAGAACAAACTAAGAGGAAAAATAAAGATGATACAGGATAAAAAAAAACAAGGCCAAAATGGTTTGGGTGGGATTTTGTTACAGATATGTTTTCATGTGGCTGAGAAATGGTTATATCGTATTTTGTTTCTCCTCTAATGAGATGCAGAGGTAAAGAAGGTTAGATCTTCTCCTCTCTCTTTTCCTGTCAGCAGGTAACCTCTTGCTCTGAGGTCAGACCCTTGCTATCTAGCTGTTCATGCTATAGATAATGCAGATGCTCTGAAAGTTTTTAGACTAATACCAGACACACACAGGGGTCCTTTGCCTCCCGGAAACTCTTCACAACTTTGTGCTGTCGTGATTTGCCTGCAGGCAGAACCGTGTTAACAGACACAGTAAGGTTTACTAGTCTGGAAGTCTGTTTTGACTGACAAAAGGGAAAAGAAGGGGTCGTTTTGGAAAGGGAGATGTTTCGGTGAAACTGTCAGTCATGTTAAATTGGCTGCTGAAAAGTGGAGGAACACAGTGGTCCACCTTTAGCCCGTCAGAGGGAGAGTCGGAGGGCTACTGCTGCCGGACACATTTGCTTTATTTCACAGAGGAGTGTGTGTATTCCTCCCCACTCTGCTGTGGCTTTAGCACCAACATACAGGATAAACCATATCATATTGTCTATACCCACCGTACTGTTTCAATTAATACTCAATTATTACTACATACTGATATACTGATGTCCACAAAGAGGTGAATAAATTCTCAAAAGTTTAAGGGTGGGATTGTTTGACCCAGAGGAATCCAACATGTAGTTGATGTGGGTTGTTGTTGTTCTTAGTCATGAAGCCAGTATAATAAATAAAAAGTTTTAACTTTGGGAATTCATTCCCTTTTCTGTTTTTTGTGGATATCGATTCGCTACCTGTTCATCAGGAGCACCTGTTTTGAGCCACATCGCAGTCAGATCCAAGAAGTGCTTCCTCCTTTTATGCTGATATATTGTTTTATCAATATGGACTGATGTTGTCTTTTCTTTGTTGAGAAAATTTGTCTGTTTTCTGATTTACACATAAATTAAGTTGTGGGGGGATGAGAGTTTTCACTTGGTGATTTCTTTTAAAGTTCAGTAAACAGGTGACAGGGACGGTTTTACTGCAGCTTTAGCGCAAACACATGCTGTTTTTATCAAGCAGACGACCAGGCGGGATTTGTAGTTTAGATGTCATTTGTGCGAGTGTCTGCAAGTTGCACATCTCTCCTCATTGGACATACATTTAAGGGAGGATCACACAAACAAACGGAGGTGACATGTTGACAGAGGCTGAATTTATGTTCTGCTGCATTTTACTGAGGTCATGTTATTTGCAGCTGTCAGTTTTGTTGGAAGAATTCACGCCCTCTGAAAAGAGCCACAAGAAAGACTGTAGTGAGGAAAGAAATATGCATTAAATATAGATTTGTATATAACACTAACATAAAACTGATTGTTAGAAACAAAAATGAAGCAATTAAGGTATTATTAATGAACATGATATCTGACAGTAATATAAAGGGATAGTGGATGGATGTTGTGGTTTGTGTCGAACTGCAAAATCACTTCAGACTGTAACTAAACTCCCTGCTGTTCCTTGTTTTGTGTGCGTTTGGCTGCATTTACATGTATTAACATCCATTTCAACACCATCTCCACCTCCACCAGCCCCTTTTTTTCCTCTTTCTCTCTTTCTCTCCCTCTCCCTCCCTCCCTCCCTACACCGGTTGCGGTGCTGTGTGTACCTTGTGTATATTTTGTGTGTCTTTGATTTGTCTTATACTTCATCTCCTTTTTCGTTTCCCGTTAAGGTTTTTATAGCCTCATAGTGTATTAATAATTAGATATATACTCAAGATAATAGTATAATTTTACAAGTAATATTTTGAGTAATAGTAACTTTTTTTCTCTGAACTGCTCTTATGAGCTTTCCTTCACTTTCAGAGGTCGCCTTTATGGTTCAGTACCAGGTCCAGTCCAAGAGCTGTGTAATGAGCATAGACTGAATATAAAAAGGTAATGAGCTGCTGCGTACATTTGCATCTTTTTAAAACATCATAAGAAGCAGCTAGACTTTATCTTCAGTAATGTGACTTTTTTCTGACGGAAACAGAATATATGGGAGGGGTTTAGGTATGAGAGGCATTTAAATCAGATCCTTTTGATGTTCTAGGGTGTGGCTGAGCAAGTACAAGATGATATGACGCTGTAGTGAGATGCTCACCCGTGTTGAATCAGGAGCGGGAGGAGGGAGAAATTAGTGAAACGACCATAACTATATTCTTTGCAAATGCAAACAATGTTTTTGCAACTAAAATCCAAAAACACACACTTCCTACTATGATAGCACTCTGCAAGTTACTATGACCCAGAAGCTGATGGATGGAATATATAATAAATAATACATA